TCTAGATCTTTTTCGTAAAATTCAAGTGCTTTCGAGTGGTCACCCATATTATTATACACTTGACCGATGTTGCTGTATGCATTAGCCAAATCGGGATGATTCGAAGGCAGAGCTTTTTTTGTGATTTCTAGATCTTTTTCGTAAAATTCAAGTGCTTTCGAGTGGTCACCCATGTTATTATACACTTGACCGATGTTGTTGTATGAAGTAGCCAAATCGGGATGATTCGAAGGCAGAGCTTTTTTTGTGATTTCTAGATCTTTTTCGTAAAATTCAAGTGCTTTCGAGTAGTCACCCATGTTATTATACACTTGACCAATGTTGCTGTATGCATTGGGCAAATCGGGATGATTCGAAGGCAGAGCTTTTTCTTTTATTTCAAGTGATTTTTGGTAAAATTCAAGTGGTTTCGAGTAGTCACCCGTGTCGCTGTACAGTTGACCGATCTTGCTGTATGCATTAGCCAAATCGGGATGATTCGAAGGCAGAGCTTTTTTTGTGATTTCTAGTTCTTTTTCGTAAAATTCAAGTGCTTTCGAGTGGTCACCCATGTTATTATACACTTGACCGATGTTGCTGTATGAAGTAGCCAAATCGGGATGATTCGAAGGTAGAGCTTTTTCGAAGATTTGATGTGATTTTTCGTAAAATTCAGCTGCTTTCGAGTAGTCACCCATGTTATTATACACTTGACCGATGTTGTTGTATGATTTAGCAAGCCGTGGATGATTCGGAGGCAGAGATTTTTCTTTTATTTCAAGTGATTTTTGGTAAAATTCAAGTGCTTTCGAGTTGTCACCCATGTCGCTGTACACTTGACCGATCTTGCTGTATGCATTAGCCAAATCGGGATGATTCGAAGGCAGAGCTTTTTTTGTGATTTCTAGATCTTTTTCGTAAAATGCAAGTGCTTTCGAGTGGTCACCCATGTTATTATACACTTGACCGATGTTGCTGTATGAATTAGCGAACCGTGTATGATTCGGAGGCAGAGATTTTTCTTTTATTTCAAGTGATTTTTGGTAAAATTCAAGTGCTTTCGAGTAGTCACCCATGTCGCTGTACACTTGACCGATGTTGCTGTATGAAGTAGTCAAATCGGGATGATTGGAAGGCAAAGCTTTTTTTGTGATTTCTAGATCTTTTTCGTAAAATTCAAGTGCTTTCGAGTGGTCACCCATGTTATTATACACTTCACCGATGTTGCTGTATGAATTAGCAAACCGTGGATGATTCGGAGGCAGAGATTTTTCTTTTATTTCAAGTGATTTTTGGTAAAATTCAAGTGCTTTCGAGTAGTCACCCATGTCGCTGAACACTTGACCGATGTTGCTGTATGCATTAGCCAAATCTGGATGATTCGAAGGCAGAGCTTTTTTTGTGATTTCTAGATCTTTTTCGTAAAATTCAAGTGCT